GAAATTCTCCCTTGAATTAGTGGTCTGCACCCTAAAGAACGGTGCACAATCAAGTGCTCCTTGATTTGATACCGCCCTCAATAGTTAGCGAAATTTATCCGCCAATTTGGGAATGAGTCCGATCTGACATGTCTGAGCAAGGAAGTTGAACAGTGATGGTAAGCTCGGTCACACAGTGAGCGTTTATCGTTGTTATCACAATTTAAACAGGTTATCTTTTATATTAAGCCTTACAGAGAATTTAGCTGTCTGCTAATGTTTTGCCCAAAAATCTCTGGAAAAACGTGTAATTTACTCGTAAATGCAAAGAGAAAAATGTTGTCATTGACATGCTTGATGTGACGAACGATCGACTACGTTTTGATCATTGAAGTTGATGCATGACGATCGACCGTACGTCACATTTTTGTGACTACAAAGTCATGAAAATAAACCTGTAAACCATGGCATACGTGTAGGTTTATACGGTTGAATGGGCCCCCAGTATAAGTTAGCGTCATATACGGGCATCACTAATCTCAAAAAATTAAATTTTAATTGAAGAACAAACCCTATAACTAGTATTGGGCACGGACCCTCACTAAAGCTCCGTGGAGCAGTAGCGAGGGTCCGTGCCCCGATAGTGGGGCTACTACCATCCCTACCATGCCTACTTAAAAAATACTTCAGACCAGTCTCATACTATAGAGTGTCTAGAACATAATTAATATAAAACCATAATTTTCTTTCATATCTGTCATGTCTAAAGTCTCACTCAGAGACTGTTTCAATCGTAGATTGCACTGAACACAGGAATGTCATCTGGTAAGGAAATAATGACGTCCCAAAAGCACCTGCACAACCAGTGTGAGAAGATATGGTCTGATGTCAATCAGGTAAGCTAAATCTCAGTCTTTGAATGTGCAGTTCCATGTATGGCATGTATGGATGTTTGGCATGGTGGATTAATCCGACTGAAATGTCGGTCACACCCGCAAGCAGATCTTGCTGGTCAATTTTTACTTTTCAAAATAATCTGCTGTACCATATAATGAATGAGAAAATGTGATCAACTAGGCCTATAGTAGCAGATAGATCGACAGATGTATGGTAGCAATGAGATGGCCCTGCCAGGCCTTGTTCTTTGCCAGCGTTGAGGGCGTTCAAGTAAGCAGAGGCTGCTCAGAATGTGTAGTTGGTGAGGCCTCATGCTTTATGCAATGATCTCAACATCATTGTGCTTAAAACAATGGAAATCATTTTCTCACCATAGCCTACCTCGAGCAGAACTTGGCATTGAGGATTTTGAAATTCTTTTAGACTCTATTCCAAAAGCTAGAGGCAAATGAAAACAAACGCCATATTTTTTGTTAAATGTAAATTTATATTTTTTCTTTTTTGGTATACAGGTTCACACTGATTTATCAAAGCTAAAACCCCTGGGTACCCTCAGCTCAGCTGAAAGTCAGGTCAGTGTAAATATTCCGCAAAAGTACAGGTAGATAAAAGTTCAGCATTTCTGGTGCTAAACAGTGGCCTTGTTTGTTTCACACGGATCTTGATCTCGATCAGTGATGCCAACTCTGGTTCGCTCTATCCATTATGCAGGCTGTGCTGTCAGTGAGCCAACAAAGGACCTCTGATTGCAATCCAGAACTGCCCAGCATAGTACAGTGTAGATGCTATATTTTCCACATCTGTTGTTTTCTTAATTGAAAGACTATCGCTAAACTGAAGTTTCAAAGTGTTCATGATTTTTAGTTGCCAATATTTTCTCATCGAACTGTTAAAGATTCTTCTTTTTATCTTTGAAGATACTGGAAGTTAGCAAGGCAAAGGAGAAGCAGTTGGCAGGAGAGCTCCATGTCTTAAAGAACACGCCTCTTGAAGGTATTGTCATTACATGGCTGCTACCCAACCAAGAACATTCTGACCTGTTTGAAAATCTGCCAGTAACAATGGCACTGTACAAGTAGTTATAAGTGTCGAAAGCACACGTGGGTTCCGTGTCCAAATTCTTGAAGAGGTCAAAATATGGAAGTATTAAGCAACCATTCACTTGTCTTCATTCCTAGATTGGCAAAAAGGCAGTCACTGTTCGGTACATTTTTTGTGCACATTCTATTGAAAATTGGCTTCTTTACTGATCCCAACACTCTTTATTTACGTATGCACTTTTATATGGAGCCATTAGTGGCTTACTCTCTATTGAGAGCCATTTGAAAGCTGACATGTAAACAAACTGCGGTGTCATCCTTATAGATAAAAGAGGTCTTTCGGCTTGACTGTGAGGTGAGTAACATGCACAGTCAAAATCAGGAAGTGCTGTCATTGGCTGTCACGTGGGTCGCTCAGTAGAAAATACAGTGAATTCACTTGTTAAATCAAAACAAGTGGGGAACCAGCCAGGTACCAGTTTATGACATTTGTGGCTGGTAAACTTTCATGGCACATTGCCATGTGCTCACCAGCTTCTTGAGACTAGCCTGTAAAATTTGTATTGCTCATTCAGCGTACCCTGTGGACACAAACACGCTGAGAGTTCTGTTGCAAGAAGAGCTGGAGACTTCAACTGCACAGCTGCAGCAAACACTTGACGTTATACAGGCTCAGAGGAAAGAGTTGGAAGAGGAACTGAACAGGTGGGTGGTGTTTGTGGTCGATACATGAGTAGTGAAGGTAACAACTTTCCAAACAAGTATTTGTCCCTCCTGGTACGCCACCATTTGCACTCAGAGGCTGGACTGAGAACTTGAATGTTGTCACTAGCATATACCAGGCTCCCATGAGAAGTAGGTTTGCGTTGAATGTATCGTGAGCGTGCAGAGCGTTGCACACATGGGGATTGTCAGACTCACGGGATGCTGTTGCTTTCATTCAAACAGGTAGTGTGCACGCTTAGAATTAACTAGAACCTGTGTGGTCAAGTTAAAATGTAATTGGTACAGTAATTTGGAGTACATTCTGAGCTGTTTATTTAATATTTGGTATTCATTTGGTAAGGGCTAAAACAATCATTTACCTCAGTGAATTTTTCCCTTTTCCATAAGCCGTCCCTATGATCTGTATTGTTGCTAACATCTCTAATTTCATTAACATATGCTAATGCCCAAACAGTCCTGTTTTCATGATTAGAGATGTTAAACTGTAATTTTTGTGGTAATTTGAATTATATTCATTGTTTGCATTTAGTACTTGGATTTATTTTAATCTTTGATGATCTGTGTGTTGCTTGGAACATAACTTTCCTGGAAAGGACCAACAAGTAGAGGTTGAATTGGGAGAATTTTATGGTCTTTCTTGGGACTTAAAACAGTGCTTTCTTTCTCATTCAACTCAACTTCTCGACACCTGAGCTTACAAGTTTTGGTTTTCTGGTTCTAATCCACTCTTGGGAAGTACATGTATGATGCAGTCTTGTGCTAAGATAAGTTAGATTTGCTTTTTGTCCCTGTGTAGAGATTTGTCAAAATAAAGCAATGAAGAATCACCCTAACTTCAGAAGTGAAATCTTGCTAGTGTCATCTTGGGTCACTGTTACAAGTGCACTCCCCATCTTTGGTACATGTATTAGTCATTATTAGCTCTCAAATTTAATATATTCCCCTTTTGAAATTTTCAGATTCAAGTAAAAGTGTTATTTAATCAGTATTGTGACTTCACCCTTTTGTTGTCATTATTAGTTTGAAGTTTGAAACACTGTTGCAAAGTTAGGCACATCCGCTTTCCTACCACTTAATTCATACGCTAAGAAGCAAGTTACTTACTCTCCAGAGAAAGAAGTTTGTTGGAACAACACAAGCAAGTCCACCAGAGCCTGGTACAGAAATTGGAAGCAGCCAAGGATGCAAGCCAAGAGCAGCACGACAGGTACTTGACTGACAATAACATGCTTAAAATAGGCCATTCAGATTTTCCATTCTCGACCTGATTATGATCACTGGAGATCTCCAGACGTGCAGATGATTTAAGACAAGGGTAAGAGAGCAGCTGATGATAGTGTACTGTTTGTTGCCATGGTGAAGAGGAAGGATTTGATGGAAACATCTTTGTATTTCACCTGCTTGGTGGAAATACATGTTGCCTAAAAAAAATCAAATTTGTAACAAAGAAAAGACATCTCCCTTCTATGTGAAAGACCTGTTTAAATTGTGGGCCATTTTCTGTTTTTACAAACTTCTGTTGTTATTGCTTGTATAGAACCAGTCAGGTGTGAGCCAAAGTAACACAATATCCATCTTGTTTCATACAGCGATAGGAGTTTGAGGGAGTTAACGAGGAAGAGACAGCGTGCTGTCGAGATCCAACAAGAGTTGATGCGTAATCTCGCCAAGTTTGCCACCCTGCATTTTCCCCTCCCTTCCACGGCAGACGTCAACAAAGCGAGTAAAAGGGTATGTGAACAGCTCCAACCATTCTTCCATTTTGTCTGAAAGAACAGCATTCAGTCAGCATTCAGTGTGCTGGCGTCCTTGCCCAAGCAAGAGATTGTGTTTGTGTCTTTTTTGTTGATGTGTGTCTCCAGTTTTCTTCGGACTGAGTTTTCCTTCAACATCATGAAGTGCATTCATTTTTGAATGCGATCTCTTTTTGAGCAGTGGCATTTAAAAACAGAACTTGGGTCAAACTCAACCATTGGTGGATCCCGGATGGACTACGGGGGGTATGCCCCCTTCTCTCCAACCCAAAAAGCCGATATTTTTGTTTTGAAAAGCAATGAAAAAAGGTGATTTTATACGACTTTCTTATTTTCTTGTCTTCTAAAGTATGTAAAAAGCTACACAATTCAGCGTCCCCCCTCAAAAAGTCTATAAAAATGGCGTAGAGAAATTTCTAGTTATTTTGGCCCCCCCCAAAAAAAAACTTGTTAGGAGCTGCCCCTTAATTCAACAGAGGTAATTACAAATGGAAATGTCTTATTACTTTAAACAGAGACGAAGCTCGACAGAGTCAGACGATGAGCAACATCGATATATATCTCTTCTGGAGATTCTAGAGGTGAGGATCATAAGTAATTTTCCTAGAGTGCCTGTCTGTGGCCAGGTAACTTGTGAGACATCTAAATTAGGAAGTGGTTTTGTTTGGAAGCCAGAAACATTTGAGCATGGAGTTCAAGATAATCATGCTGCTGTGGGAAATGACACACTGCCAGTTATAAAACCAAACTTTTAAAGCAGGTGGTTAACCTTAACCCTCCAAGATCCTTTGAAATCCATCAAATTGTTTTGAGGAGTTTGCAAGATTTGGGAAGTGCCTAGCCATTGCTACTTAGCTAGTGGGCTCTTTTTATCCTCCCGTGGAAAGCATACAGTAAACTCTAAGTTGGCATCGCGTAACCTGTCATATCATCCAAGTTGGCCGTTTGACAAAAGTCCTGATCATCTGTAATGCATTTCTATTGAAAATTTCATTTCTAAGTCGGCATTTATAAGTCGTCATTTTGTATAAGTTGGCATGTTTTTCTCGGTCCCTTTTCTACAAAACCACAATAATTCCTTTGTGTAAGTCGGAATTAAAAAAAAAATTGTGCTTCTTTATCAGTTTCCTTCGCCGTGGTTGCCTAGAATTGACAAGTCCCACGCTGCTTGACTGATGTCTGTTTATTAGCATCACAGTACAGGCCGTGGTTGATAATCAGCCAGCATGAGTACATCAATACCAGTAACCCCTCTAGTGCTACACGCATGCGCCATGTCCATTTGGGGGTTGCCCTATTGAACGAACTTAACCAATGCGTGTGTTGTATGTACCGTAACTGTATCACGTACATGTACGTCATGCACTATGCAGTCGTGATGTGATGTGCAGGTGGCTTGCCGTCCTCGCTTCCTCCTTAGGGGCACATGATCAATTATCGAATTTGCAGCCTGTGAGGATAATAATTGAGAACAAATTTGCTGGGATCGACCATGGAGGTAGAAATAAACCAGGGTAAATCAAAGCCATTGAATTAGTGCAAGGAATCATAATGTACATGGACAATACATGTGTACGTGCAAGTCAGCAAAACGACAACTTACAGCACAAGAATTCCGACTTAGCCAGAGTTTACTGTATTTCAATACGAAAACAAATCATTCCTAAATATTGGTGTGATACAGGAATTCCTTGCCAGAAGTCTTGGCAGTTTAAGTGATTTGAAGCTCCGTTCAAATGTTTCTGTTCAAAGGCATGCACACTGTCACATTAAGTTAAATCTACTCTTCCATCTTTTTTATGTCTTGTCCTGCATGGATTCCTTTCCTCTGTCAGATACTCATGAACAAGTGCACAGACGATGAACCAGATCCCTACATCACCTTGGACGAGTCTTTCTGGCCTCCTTACGTGGAGCTGCTGTTGAGATGTGGAATTGCCTTGCGCCATCCGCAGGCCTGCCAGCGAATCAAGCTGGTACCCTTTCACCTGTGACAGTCATGAGAAATCACGGGCGGCAGGTGTTTTCATGCTTTCTGCACCAATTATGCCTTCTCTGTTTCGTGCCAATTCACGCATGTGCATGTACGGACCAGTGTCAACAGCAACTGTTGGATTTGTCATACCGACTACTTGTAGTTGATGTGTAACAAGTGTAGTACCTGCAGGAATTGTTGCTGGTACGACACCATGTGGTAACCAGAAGTGGTACAGCTATGTGTTACCTTAGACACCTGATGACTCAGTTGAGTGAAACAATGAACACTTATCAAGCAAGGCTGGCAGGAAAGAAATAAACATGTGGCTTTCATACATGCTGGTAGGGCCATTGTTGAATAAGTAATGAGCTCATATCTTGCCCCTCCCTGATGGGGAGGTCTGGGGTAATCCATTATGTACACAAAGGGGTAAGGTGTGTGGATTAATACACTGGAACAGGAGGCAGAGCTAAATGAGAAGGGGAGGGGGCCGACTATTTTTCCATCTTCTCTACACTGGTACTGAGAACTCTCTTTCTAGTGTGGCTTTTAACACATGGAAATTGTCCTGTTTGTGACAAAGTATTATGCAACCAATTTCCATGTTGACACTTCTACACTGATTTCACTGTATTTGACTTGGAGGTAAATCTAACGTGTTTGTAGATATCAATTTCATTGTGTTTCTTGTCCTCAATACAAGACTGTTCACCGCATCAACCATGTTTTTGTCATAACCAAATTTGTTGAAATGTACTGTAAATATTGTATATTTATGTTTGAAAAGGTACTTTAAGATATCAGTTTTCCCCCTTCATTCAAGTACCATACAGACGACTGGAATCGTCCAAGTTGTAAATTGTCTAAATTGAAGGTTTCCATAGATTTTAGGGGGTTAACTTTGTGATCTTCCACAACGGGAAAGAAGGTCATGATTTGCTGATTAAAAGTTTTGGTACAAATAATGTTAACTTGAGGATGTAAAACCAACTTGTTTTATTACTTGGTGAAGCTTAAAGTTATGATAACAGTCCGAAACCTTCTCAATCAAAATTTAACCTTTCATCCAACTACATGCTGTCCTTCAATAGAGTGGTGATTTTTGAGGCCATCTGACTGATTGGCAAATTCAACTGACCATTAAGATGAGTAAGTCATACACATTCACTCTGAACTGACTGACGATTCGTTGACTGGTCAGCATAACTTATCATTCATGTTCAAATAAAATCTAACTTTAAAAAATGCATAAATAGAAGTTAGCAGCTTAACACGCAGGATCAGAACTATTGAAAACGCACTCGATCCACACGCACATAAAACTAGGCCTTAAAAACTGATGAAGCTGTCAAATGCATTTCCTCTGGCACCATCAGCTTTAAATGCTCTATTAATTATTCAAAATTATTTCCTAAAACAGAAGTACGGGGCTGTGCTATCTTTGCCGATCTTCTTCCGTCTGTTTTGTTGGTCTTGCTTCTTCTCTCTCTTTTCTAGCTTCATCTCGTAACTGTCCTAGTTCACCTCGTGCTGGAGGCACATCAGGTATTGACTACCAAGAAAAAGAACAAAGATACCTTGTTACATGTATCATGAGAACGGTAACAATTCTACACTTCACAATGTTAACAAGCTTGACGTTTTTAACTCATACAACCGATTGTTAGCAGAAATTGACTGACATTATGCCCCTGGACGAGCAAACAGGCCCTTATACTCACGATCTCACATTTTGTTTACTTGAGCACTTTTCTGTGGAGCCAGTAGGGGCCTACAGTCCACTGAGAATTATGGCAGAGCACATTGAAACTTGAAAACTAAAATAAAGCACTGTAATGTGCTGCAGCTGCTCGCGGCACGCTGATCAAAATATTTTTGACATCCAAAATGTGGCGTCATCAGTACGGAGGTCTATCGACTTTATTGACGGAGGCTGGTTTGCTACAGTGTAGCAAAGTTTGGAGTAATGGGTTGTTTACCATGTCTGGCTTGTAGTAAGCGTGCACAGCTTGCGCCCCAGCCATCATGGACAGCATTCCTGCGGCTAGGAACTTCAGATATGGAATCCAGTCAACACCCGCTGGCATTTTGCTAAGGAATCCGGCACCTGTACACTCTCGCACAGTCCATTAGTTAAACAGTCTGATGCCTTGTTTGCTTAGCTTTGGTAGGCTATGTTTTGCTGCTGGATTGGTTCAAGAAAAATGTACATCCAGTTTCCCTTTCTTGGAATCACATGTAACAGTTCAATTAGTGTAGATCAACAGCCCTCTGTAATATTCTTCACCACCAGCCTCGGGTTGGCAATAAGACTGGATTTCAGTCTAGACGTGCTGACATGGATCACACTTCTCAGCTGTCCTCTGCCGTTTCAGCTAGCTTCTCTGCATACTGCCTCTCAGCTTCCTTTCTCCGGTAAACATCATCTGGAAGTAGGGAGGGAAAAACCCTCTGTGAATGTGTGAAACCCTGTGTGAATCCCACACGCAGCTTTTTAAACAAAAGCCATGGAATTATGCAAGATGTAACACTGGCGTAATCAAACTGTCAGAGGGGAAAGAAAGATTGTCACAGGGTCTGTGAACTTATCTCTAAAAGTGGTGGGACAAGACAGTGCCGAGAAGCAACAGTACATGGAGGTCAACTGATCAAGAGATACACAAATTTGGAAAAGGCATTCGAAAAATTACAGTTTCTTGTCGGAGTTATTTGAAGAAAGGAGGCCCCCTTTTTTCCAATGTTGCATATTTTTCCAGGATGGCAAATGGATTTCATTGACTTTTGCTGACACTTTTATTTCTAAAGATGCGAGGCAGTCATCTCATCTTTAAAAGTTTTGAAAATGCATACAAAGCTACACATTGCATATTCAACGGGTTTATTTAGTCTGGCGCCCATTCAGGACACTTCTTGTACATGGTTATACATTTTGACACAGCAGTTACCGTACACGACTTACAAAAAGTTTCTCTGCCGGGTGCGATGCGTGCGTTGATCATAACCCATTCCAGTGCCGCCCCTGCAACGAAAAACACGGGCAAGAAGCGGTAGATCCCAAACATTCGCTTCCCTGGCCACTTGTTGAGGAGGTTTCGGAATCGTCGGCTGTAAAACATTGGTGAGTTTCGGCGTGTAACTTCGGGGCATGCACCATACCGGTACCTACCACCGGCACGAGTTGTTATGAAATGAAGTGCGCCCTCTGTCGGAATGTCCCCTTCAATAATTATTGAACATGTGTCAATGATGGTGCAATATTTAATGTCATCATCAGAAGTTGAGAACCGCAACGAAGGCAACAAAATCGCTTCTTGGGCTAGTAGTACTACTAGTAAGTTGAACTCAAGTTTTTCTCTTGTTTGCATTTGTTGGGTATTTTCAATTAGGTGAAGCAGTTTGTTTCCATGTGTTTAACTTGTTTAATCAGTCAGTCTTCCTTCCTCCACGGTCAGATGGTCTCAGTATGGAAGTAGGCTGTCATGCGTTAGTCTGCGTTAGCGTAGCGGACGTTGAACCCCACAGTTCTGGGGGTAGCGATAGTCTTCATGCAGTGTCCATCCTGCTGGAGTTACACTGGCCCGACTATAGTTGGTAAAACATCCAAACAAGCCAACCTAGCATTTCATCTTTGACACATATACAAACTGGATTCTACAAACACAAATTGCTGATATAAAAGAAATGACTTTGGCTCATGCTTGGGCACACCTGGAACTCGGTGCTTAAACTGGCTTATCTGTAGCACTTTAGTTGGGATAGTCCTCCCAACCGTCCGCCTTGAGCTGAAGCACCCCCTCATTGGTTGATAAGAGCCATGTTGCAAGGCAGTGTTCCTTTTTTGGAAGTGATGCGACCACAGTGCTTACATATTAGTCATTCATGAGTGAAGTGCAGTTCCCACCAAAGGACCCTCTGGGAAACTGTCCTTTTCTTGGACCTGCTTTAGGCCCATAGTTGAGACAGCTGCTATAGTTGGGGAGTAACAAGTGCTATGTTGTGCTATCAGTGAATATTGTGTGAAATTTTCCACTCCAATTCCCTTTTTTTAAAACAGTTTTCTACTACCACCAGGTAGATAAAAAGGGAACTGGCTGGAAGGTAGAATTATTGATCAGCAAATAGCGCTACAAGATCAGCAGACACGCAAAGATGGAGCGATCGTGTAGATCAACCAATCATGCCTGTAATTGATAACTGATTTGTCTGTGTTTGTGTCTGAAACTGTGACCGACAAGATCACGCAATTGGTAGTGAAGGCGACTATCTAGTCACAGCTGTTTAAGCCTTCCTCCTTTTCCAGGCTCGATATTTTGGAAACGCTTTGATAACCATAGCCCTAGATGACCCAGGTATTGGACTGCATCCATACCTGGGTCCCACAGTGGTCTACCTCCATACCTGGGTCCCATAGTGGACTGCTTCCATACCTGGGTCCCACAGTGGTCTACCTCCATACCTGGGCCCCACAGTGGTCTACCTCCATACCTGGGCCCCACAGCGGACTGCATCCATACTTGGTCCCACAGTGGACTGCATCCATACCTGGGGTCCCACAGCGGACTGCATCCATACCTGGGGTCCCACAGTGAAATGCCTCCATACCTGGGTCCCATAGTGGATTGCATCCATACCTGGGTCCCACAGCAGACTGCATATATTCATGGGTCCCACAGTGGTCTACCTCCATACCTGGGTCCCACGGTGGACTGCATCCATACCCTGGTCCCACAGTGGACTGCCTCCATGCCTTGGTCCCACAGTGGACTGCCTCCATGCCTTGGTCCCACAGTGGTCTGCCTCCATGCCTTGGTCCCACAGTGGTCTGCCTCCATGCCTTGGTCCCACAGTGGTCTGCCTCCATGCCTTGGTCCCACAGTGGTCTGCCTCCATGCCTTGGTCCCACAGTGGATTGCATCCATACCTGGGTCCCACAGTGGTCTTCAGGAAATCTAGAGCTGAAGTCCATTCTTTTTTTTTCAGACATGCTGTACTTCACATGCATTTTTCCCAGTTTGAATAGAACATCAATAAGCCTTACAATTACCTTTTTAAGACCAAAGGGGGCTCTTGCTGTCATGCTAGGCATTTCCTCTGCCTATCCTTACCAAGAAATGTTTTTTAAAAACCTGCTAATTTCCAAATTTCATCTTAAAATTAGTCTACAATGTACATGTAGTCTGGTTATCTCTTTTCAAGTATTGGACTCGCTTGACAGATTATTTTGTTAGCTTTATCTGCAGTTGTTAGCTTTATCTGCAGTTGTTTGGCATATGGGAGAAGCTGTTCATATGAAATTCAAACATTCACTGGTTAGTCTACTGCGACTTACATCCTTTGTTTTAGGTAATCCAGTAATCTAAGTAAAAAAAAAGTAATCTAGAGTCCAAGTCCACAGTGACTGTGAAATTTGAAATAATTAACCTTGGGACCCCAAACCAACAGTAATGCAATTTAACTTTCCAGTTGCTTTATTGAAAAGTCTGAACATCAAGACGTGAGGATGTCGTCTGGCAGGACCTACACCCAGGAACTGGAGTACCTGCACCAGCTTTCGCCCAATTTATGGCAGATCAAGAAAGGTTTCGTCCCTAACATGAAGGTAATTGTAAGAACTGGAAGTCAAAATAAAAAACAAAATTCAGTTGCACAAACAATGCAACACAAATACAGACTGGAAAATACACAGGAAGGGAATAATTAAATACTCCAACTGTGATGGCATCGGCCATGAACCGGTGAAAAGTTTGTTTGTCACCCGCGAGTGTGGGTGAGGCAGAAAATTGTAAGGCAAAATTGCTCCACACACTGAGATAGATGGTTTGCACGGCAGCCATTTTGTTGGCCAGCGGTTGTCACAGTTCCACAGAGATATGCATAAAAGGTCTACTCATGTGTGTCCCTGGGGGACAGTAGACTCGTCCTGCAAGATGGCTGCCTTGGGAAATGCCTTTAGTGATTCCTTTTGTTTCTATGTGCACCCAGGTGGAGGGACGTTTCTATGTCAACAAACAATTGGAGAAGCTGATGTTTGAGGAACTGAGGAATTCTTGTGGAAAGTGTGAGTGAAACTTGGGCTGTGAATCACATTCATTTGATACGTCCTTACATAAATTGCTGTGTGCTTGCATTCAAGTTGTAATGGAAGTCACCAAATCACACAGATAGACCCTGCTCATATTGCCTTTTTTGTGTGGGGTGCCCAAAATTTGTACGAATACCATCCCTTGTTGGAGGCAGTTTTTGCCTCAAAATTAATTTAAATGAGCATCATGTTTTCCTATTGTATTTAGAAACAGTCTTCATTCTGTGCCAGGTTGTTGTTTGATAGCTGTGCATTTTTTGTCAACTTTTATACTGATGGCTAGCCGTAGCTTACCCGTCCCAGGTTGACAAAAAATAATGACTGTGACACAGAAAGGAGGAGATCTGTTGTAGCTGCTATAAATGAATTGCTTTTAACAGTGTGAAGGTATTAAAAGCTTGTCTACTCCTTTGTTTACTCTTCTCAAATTGTGGTTGGCACATTGCACTGATTTTAAAACTGAAAAGAAGACTTGTTCAAGTCTAGTTGGGCAGCTCAACAGGGTGGAGGGAACATCACATTAGAATTTAACTGTACATCTTAAACAGCCAGAGGGTTAGTTTGCCCTCATGGCCCCAATTGAATACACAATAAGCAATTATCTTGTTTGCCAGGCTTTGCTCTTTGTAATCTAATTAGTCAACTTAATCTGCTTAGACTTAATGATCTAATCCAGCCACTTGGAGCCTGCAGGTCTGTAGGATGCCAAAGAGCTATGTGGACTTTATAATGATGCATAACAAAGGAGGGTTCCCTTACCTCTAAGGTTGAGGGCACAGTTAACCAGTTAGCCTTTTCAGGGTTTTTACAAATAAACCCTTTGAATCCAACATAATTTTACATGGACAGCAAATGTGATATGTGAAAACCCTTTGCATGATGTCCAACTTGTTTTTAAAAGATGATCAGTAATTTTGTATTTTAGTGAAGAAACATTTAAATATAATCAGAGATCAGTCTCAACTTTCTTTAACAATTGAAGCATTAAAGGTGAATATCTCAACCCTCTAGAGGGTTTTCTAGGTTGCATCACAAACCTCAATCCTCTCTATTCCAGCCGCATCTTACACAATCAAATCTAACGTTAAGTAAAGCAGGATTCATTAAGCTTTTTGAAAATTACAAAAAATAAACGTATATATGATCCTTACAAGTAATAGGTTTGTAATGTTTTTAATATTCAAGCTCAAAGAGAACTTCCCTTTCGTTCTGTGGTTTCCAAGTCTCATTTGTTTGTGTGGGGTTGCAATTCAGAGATTTTCCGTCCTTAAATTCATTTACTTTCATTGTTGTCAGGTTGAATCTCTAACGACTTGTTTATTTTTGTTTTTGCAGCATTGGGTGGGTTTTTACCAGGCGTGAAGCAGATCGCCAATGTGGCCGCCTTGCCAGGAATCGTTGGCTACTCAGTGGGTCTTCCAGATATTCACTCAGGCTACGGCTTTGCAATAGGTAGTCAACTTGACGTTGAACGTTACTTTTGCTTCAACAAAAGGGAGATATATTTTCAGCAAGCATTTTGTGTCGTCCCATCCACACTGTCCTTATCCATTTTAGTGTCACACTTTTGATGCCAGAGGGTGCTTTTTCTAAGCTGTTTGGATGTGTAATCTGAATATTTTATTTGAAGTGCCGAAGATATTGAATGGTTACGAAATGTTTAATGCACAGAACTGAGCAAAAAGAGTTGCCCCGTTTAAGAACTTTCACGGGCATGCCCATGTGTTTGCACAAACCCCGTGGAGAAGTTTGATTAATGTTTTTGCCCGTTTCCACATCTTACAAGTCATTCCTGCTGATTCTTCTCCAAAAAATTCTCCAGAGTTGTTTTTTTCTTCAATCATCAGGCAACATGGCAGCCTTTGACATGGATGACCCCAACGCTGTTGTATCACCTGGGGGTGTTGGCTTTGACATCAACTGTGGAGTCAGAGTCCTGCGCACAAATCTGGATGAGAAAGACGTCCTGCCGGTAAAGGAACAGCTGGCCCAGGCCATGTTTGATCACATACCAGTGGGAGTAGGTTCCAAAGGTGTAATCCCCATGGGAGCAAGGTAAAGATTTCCTGCATATTTTTCTTCTTGTGGAGATCTTTGGAGAACCACTCAAGTTTTCAAGTTTTCTTTTTCCCTATAAGGAAAGGCTTTGAAAGGCTTCTCAGCAGAAAAGATGCAAAATAAAATTTAAGAAGGCTGGATGGGAGATGAGTCAGGAGAACAAAATTATTTAAAGGGACTTCCTTTTTGTTGGAATACGCCTGGTTTCAGGTGATAAGGTTACTGGTTACAATCCGAGTAAGTGACAACCCACGCTCTTGCTTTTTGATTTTGCTCCTGATGATTAAATTTTCTTTTTCTTAATACGGCCGTTTCGCAAAAGTGTGCCACCAAGAGTTTGGAACGCGTTGGCCTATCACAATGCACAAAATTTGTCGACCCAATGCGCATTTGGAAAGGGTCGACAAATTTTGCGCCTTATGATTGGCCAACGTGTTGCAAACTCTTGGTGGCGCACTATTGTGAAAGGCCCGTATTCTCTGCCTGCTGCCAATTTTGTATTTGTTGAAATTGGTTGTCCAGTCAAAATAATGCATTTCAGTAGTCGTTGCTTTGCATTGCATTCAGATTTCTACGCACTTGAAAATTCAATTTCTCCTGCAGGGATTTGGAAGAGGCATTGGAGATGGGTATGGACTGGTCTCTCCGAGAAGGTATGCTCATGCTTACTGGCAGGACACGGGTAGCTAGAATTTGACGAATGTTCTGGAGACTTGATTGAGTCATGGACCAGACAGGTTCTGATGGTATAGTTTTAAAAAATGTGACCTGTAATTTTGTTTATCAGGCTATGCTTGGGCAGAGGATAAGGAGCATTGCGAGGAGTATGGACGTATGCTTCAGGCTGATCCAGGCAAGGTCAGCTCCCGGGCCAAAAAGAGAGGGCTCCCCCAGCTGGGGACGCTAGGCGCTGGTAACCACTACGCCGAGATCCAGGTAGTGGACGAGATCTACAACGAGCACGCCTCCAAGAAGATGGGCATTGATCATAAGGGACAGGTGAGTGGAAGGAATATGTGCTGCCCCATCATTTCCCGTCCATTCCCTGTCTTGCTCAATTTAAAAAACTTACTGGTGTTAATCTGGAAGTTTTATTCCACTGCTGCTTTGTTAGCACAAAGGATTAAGATTCACAGCAACGCTGCATACAATGAGCTATCGTTGCTGTCGGCAATCTAAACACAGGTGAATGCCGGCAACTTGTTTGCAAAATTTTTGCACAGCTTGGCCTTGGTGTCATGGACAGTGGGTTGCGTCATTAGAAAATACAGCCAAATTGATTAAACTTTAAGCTGCTGTGCTAACCAGAGCAGGAAATAAGTATTTTGCTTACCTAAAAAGGTACAGTCAAAGGGACTGTGGCACAGTCATCTGCTGCTTCATCACCAAGCTAAGTGATTTACTTGAAATGGGCAAAGTTGCCACTAACCGCAGCAGTCCTGAACCCACCAAGTTTAGCATATTTTTGCAAACAGCTTCAGAGGTTGGCAAAAGGTTAACAGTACCATGAAATTGGACCATGCTAAGGTGAAAATGTTATGTAGATCTATGCAGTCTTAAGTCCGGAATCAGTAATAAGAAATAACCATTTGGATTTGACTTGGCTGTGCAATTGCTTGCTTGCTTTTGAGGACACAATAGATATTTCTTGAATATATTGAAAATAGGATTCTCCCTTCAATTATGACAGATCTGCGTGATGATTCACAGTGGGAGCAGAGGTCTTGGCCACCAGGTGGCCACCGATGCCCTGGTTGCCATGGAGAAGGCCATGAAGAGAGACAAGATAGATGTGAATGACCGACAGCTGGCTTGTGCCAGGATTCAGTCGGCTGAGGGCCAGGATTACTTGAAGGCCATGGCTGCGGCTGCTAACTACGCCTGGGTCAACCGGAGTAGTATGACCTTCCTGTCTAGACAGGTTGGTCTTGTTTCAGCACATATCTTGCTCCCAAGTCCTCATAAATCACCAGGAGTCCTCACAAGTCATCATGAGTCCTCACAAATCATTACAACTTACCACGCGTTCTCACAAGTCGTTGTGAGTCCTCACAAATCATAAACAGTCCCATCACAACTCATTTAGTCTCAAATCAATCAACAGTTGTTCACATCAACTATGACTGATGTGTATATTTCTATCTCTCCCACTCCAACTGATTTTGACACTGTGATCGACTTTGGACTTGATAATCTGATGTAGTTGTGATTGACTAGATTAGAATTCTTGATGAGTGGATATGCGTGAGATCACAATTTGCTAGTTGATTGAACATTGCCCATTAACCACTTGCAAATTGTTTTTTTTCTGCAATGAACACCTCACAGCCGCGATATTAGTTTGACTGAATACCAACTCTTTCATATGACAAGGTACCACAATCGGCATCTTTTACAAGGTTGAACTTTCCAAAGGTTTTTGAAAATTATTTTCAAAATTTGTGCAACATTTGTTACTGCTCAGTTGCTTTTTCTGAAACTCTGGGACAAAGTCGCAGAGCAATATTTGCGACCTGTCCTTGGCACATGCTCAACCTCCATGAACTAGGTTTGTATGTACAAAGAATTGCTCAAGCACGGGGGACGAGTGCAGACATCAACCTGTAGTGCATGGAGAATTTGTCAAGACATGCTTACGCATCCTTTGCCTCGCAAGCCAAGGGAAATCCCTGTGTGTTTGCTAGTTGTCCCCTGTAAAGAGGTTGTTAATTAGAGATCACTTGTTCTTTTGCATACACATCAGTCTTGACCCCTTGAGAGTGATTGGAACAAGCAACGGTCTTATGTGCCCATGGTAAACCATGATTTGAATGTCATCTTAACTGATCTATTGAATTCACCTCTCCCCTGTACATTTTGTGACATCGTTTAATTTTTATCTAGTGTTCCTATTCTTGTGCACATAGGCTTTTGCAAAGCAGTTTCAGGAAACACCAGATGATCTGGATATGCAAGTTATCTATGACGTGTCTCACAACATAGCCAAAGTTGAAGAACACATATCCTTTGCTTGAGCTTGGCTGTTGGGTTTTCTCTATTGTAAACCTACTACTTGTTCACATCATTCGCGGGAAATTTTATAACAATTTGATAAAGAATTACCAAGGGTTTTATTGCCGAATTGCTAACGGGAATATTGTAAATTTTACTTGAACTGGAGAATTTGCTTCAAAACTAAATGACTGTTTTGTCCCTTAAGTTGACAGACAGGCTTTTGAAATGACCACCGTTCTGTGAGTTACTTCAGAAAAAGCTTGACAGGTCACATTGAGGTGTCATTTAAAATGTGCTTGTGTGTGAGCAAACTGTCCTTAACTGAGCAGCCTACATCTTGGATGGCCAACAGAGGACATTGTTGGTCCATCGGAAGGGGTCAACCAGAGCGTTTCCACCCCATCACCCTCTCATACCTGTTGACTACCAGGTCAGTGGGGAAATTCTTTTCTGTGGAGTATGTTTCAGGTCTCGCGTTAACCAGTGTTGCAGTCTAATCATCCCAAGACAAGGCACAAGACCAGTTATAACCTTGACCTCGACCTCCTTGATTCTTATGGAGGATTTTACAAATGGATAAATTAACGAACAATAAATGTGAATATTCATTATGTTGCCTGCAGATGACCGGCCAACCAGTTCTGATTGGTGGAACCATGGGAACGTGTAGTTATATTCTGACAGGAACACAGAAAGGAATGAGTGAGACATTTGGAACCACGTGTCACGGAGCTGTAAGAAGTTGAATAGTTGAACGTAGTATTTCATGGTTGTGTTACATACTTCTGTGCATATGCTGTCGGAAATTGTGCCAGTCAAGTACAAATGTTGATTTTAATGTGCCTGAACCAATGCAAAAGCACTATTTTTGAAATGAAACTGCAGTCACTTTTCCAGTGGTAGTAAAACCACAGTGTTTCTCCAGCAGTTGGTTTGTTAGACATTGCAATTGTTCACTTGATTGAAAGATGGAGAATTGCTTGTCCAGGTTTTATGAAATATTCTGAATATAACTTGAGAAGATCTGGATTGTGCATTAATTAAGCCCTAACTACATTTTCTCTGTCTTTGTTTAGAAGCACAACTTATTAAATTTGAAATTTTAATTATACATGTAGTTCTTTCAGTGGATTTCTTCTCAATGTCCGCTCACATCTTTTGAATGTCCTACA